AGACGGAAAAATCTGCTGCAAAAGTTCAGGGTATATCAGAGGTGGAGTATGATCTCAATAATGTTAGTGGTATTTCTCTCTCTGTACAAGACGTGAATTTTAGTGATCAGATGACTGATTGTGATAACAAGAGTGAAAGTCAAATGCCAGGCATGGGATCTGATCAGAACACTGCAATTTTGGGAGACAAACAGATGTCTATGGAACAGGAAAACATGATGTCATTGCCTTCAGGATCAGAACCTCAACATATGGGTGAGACAGACATTAACATCAACCAATCTACGACTGCATCCATCTTGTCAAAGGCACAAGATGTGAAATCTGGTAACCGAAGGAAGAAAAAAAGGACGGTAAAGTCTGCCACAATTAATCCAGATGATTCAGGAAAGGAGCTTGTTGACACATTAAATGGCCGTTCAGCTTTCTCTGATTCACCTGCTAATAATGTTGCTGATGAAACTAAGAACTCTCTTAGTATTCTGTCTCAAAATGTGTGGAAAGATGCATCAAAAGATGAATCAATGGATACCTGTGTCTTAGGTGCTCATAGCGAAGGTGATAAAGTTATTCATTACGAAGCACGCACTGAAGTTGATTTATCTCATGATGACAGAGGGGACAATGGTAAAAATGGGAGGCAAGTTCACAGCAATAGTATAAATTCAGTTGATAATGGCATCAATGATCTGCCTGTGGAAAATCAAACTAATGAGGTTCAACGTTTGCAACAGAATCAATCAGGCAAACCTAAAGAGAATGACTGCAATTTGGACGGGAAAACAAAGAAGAAAAAGAAAAAGAATCAGTTCTCTGCATCAGAGAATCTCTCTACTTCAGAAATCAAAGAGCAATCTAATGTTGCTGAAGAATTAGCAGTTTCTGGTAATAAAACGAAAGTGAAGGACATTCCATCTAGTGCAGCAAAGACAAATCGATTGGCTAAAAAAAGAACTGTAATTCAATCAACTCCTCCTGTTTTGGAACTGGAGAAGAATCTTGGTACTGAGTCTTCTCCAAATCATGAATGTGCTCCAGAAGATGCAAATCCCTCTCAAGTGCCGTCCAAGGGGAGACCTGAAAGTGAGGTTGATAACATTAAAACTGCCAAGTGCAAAGATGAAGGGATCAACTTCAGGCATTACTTTGTGACTGGACAGCACCAGGATAAAGTTTCTTCATCTGCCAAGGTGAAACAAAAATTGACGAAGCCAACGAGTAAACAAGAGAAGCATAATGTTGTTGCTGAAAACAAACTGGAGTCATCTGAAAATCATGGACTTCAATATAAATCTGATGGCAGAAATATTGATGACAATCGAGTTGAAGAATCTGCTTCAAGTGGTGAGAATAACAAAGCTTTGTTTTGTGGCAACAAAAATACTTTAAAAGCTCCTGAACATGGAATAAAAGCTCCAAGTTCTCATGAAGCTAAGGAAGATAAAACCCTCAAAAAGGCCTTAAAACCAGTTGTGGTGGATGGTGCTGGGACCAGTACAAAAACAAGCAAAAGGAATCAACAATCAGGGTTTAGTCCCAACAGCATACCTAAGAGAAACAGTTCTAGTAAAAATGCTGGGCATGTTCTAAACAGTTCTGGACAAAAGAAGAGTTCATTGTTTACACCACGGCTAGTTTTTAGGCTAAACAGCAGTGAGAGTTCAAGTAATGAAAATCAGATTGTAAATTCAGATGCGAGTACCCGTGCCCCATCTGATAGTTCATCTTCGTCAGGTTACTCAGTTGGGGAAAGTGAGCTACGCCCTGACTCAAAGAGAAATGGTAATTGAAGTTCTGCAATCTCTTGAATCTTCCTGTTGTTTTTATTCAATGGGACAAATCACTTGCTAATTTATCGCATAATGGATGCTCTATGAAAAGTTGGTACAAATAGTGAAGGTTCATTGCTATGTTAAGAACGTAGTCAACATATGAATTCCCTGTTATCATTTCCATCTCGTTCATCTTTTTTCCCTTCAGTTTGTCCCCTTACCCGGGTTGTGCAGAACTTGCTGCTTCATTCCAGTTGCTACTTGGAAATGGACACAGTGAGAGGCCTTCTTGGAAATGGACATAGTGAGAGGCCTTCTTGGAAATGGACATAGTTACAAGCCTCCAACCCAACATTCTAGCATGTTCTTATCGTTTCTATCTCCTTCCTTCTTTCTTATCATGAGTTTACCGTGGGCAATTTGCAAGTTACAACATGCAATTTTATCTTGCAATGGACTTAATCAAGGATCTTCCTTCACTCCTCTTCCCCACCACCTTGCAGGGCCCTTTTTTTGGTCATGTCTTAATGCATTTGTTGGAGATCATGATTCTTCAAAGATCCCTTCTAATCTATCACATATGTGTCTGCTCATGTATTTTGAATGGGCAGCTAGTTGATTATTCCATTCTATTTTTCTGACAGGATCTGTTAATGCAACAGGACAAGGTGGTGCTGTTGGAAACATCTTAGACACAAAGTAAGTCAACCATGCACTTTGTTGGGGTTAATTCACATGAATGTTGCCTAATGAGTGGCTTGCTGGATTATGAATTAATATTGGAACATATCTATTGATTCAAAGCCCTATATGCAATCTCAACTTTAAATTTTAGTATTCTGCTTGTGCAGTTGTATAGTTACTGATAGTATTCTGGCCAGGAATTTGCCACTAACACAATTGACAACTGAGTTCTCGTAAATTGATTGTTAGAATTCAGGACAGCATGCTTGTGTCACCTACCTACTTCTTATGGCTGATAATATAACTGACAAAGATTTGTCACAATTAATGTCAAGAGGGAGTTGAGGTGGTTATTATGTAGTCAAACACAGAGCTTAAGCATCGCTCATTAGGTTGCATTTTTCTGCTATCGAAGCAGCTTGTTTTGCACCACTTTTTGATTATTGATTGTCCTTTGTTGCCTCTTTTTAACACTCGCAATAAAATTTTTGTTCTTTCACGGCTTATACATGGAATCTTAACCACCTGTTTGACCTCCACCCGAAAAGGAAGGTATAATAACAATCTAGTTGTCTGAGTAACTGAGATTTGTTCCAGGCTAGACGAGGGCCAATGATATCATTGCCATTGTTACTCAAGCATAGAAAAGTAGTGCAGCAGGTTGTTAGTTGAGAAATTCTGCCAGAACTTACATTGCGCTGTACCGTTGCATCTGATTCTTTCCAAATATTTAGTGCTTGTCATCAAATTACTTGCTGGTTATGAAACAGGTTTTCTGGCCCTCAACAAATGAGCATGGACATGGTTCTTAGAAGTTCTAGCCGCTTCAAGAAAGCTAAGATTGCAGCTTCGCAGTCTCAAGCTGGAGATACTGGAAGTCAGCCGGTTGATTTTGTCCCAGACAGTCAAGCAAAGCAGTGACTTTGCTCTGCCTTGCTTGCTACTTTTGTGTATTCAATCATGCCAAGGTCATGGTTTATGCCCACCTTTCAGGAATTAATAGAAGCGTTCCCCCGCCCCCCTTTTTTGTCAATTCCAAACTTTTAAGCATTAAAAAAAAAACTTATTTTTAAAATTGTTGCGCAAGTCCAGAAGGTTGAGCCCCGAAACCACATTTTCATCTTGCCACTTTCAACGTCATGATCTCCAAATAATCTATGAAGAGCTTACTCTTCCATACTTGTAAATTGCTAGTAATGCTAACAAATAATCCGCCAGAAAAAGAGGAAGGTACGGTGGGTCTGCTCGTCTCTCTCCTCCTCATTTTCATGTACTCGGTGAAGTTCTTATTCGTTATTACCAAGCAAATGTAACTTGGTATGCTAAAGATAATAGTAGTAATAAATAATCCACATATAAGACGTCGATTTGGGACCTATTATTTGTTCCCAGCCTTGGCGGCTGTAATCAACTTGGTTCCTAATAATCATTTATCATTGGCGAAAGCATGTCTTGGGGTGCGTAAAATATTGGAATTGCACCATTCCCTGAGAGCTGACCAACTGTCTTTCTTCGTATTTTTGCTTTCAACCCTCACCGCCTAATACAAACAACAGAGGACAAATGTAAAAGCCTTGGGCCCCTGGTGCGGTGAACCTCAATTTCAATTTCTCAGTAATATAACTAAACGCGGATATAACTTCTCGACGAGGCTAGGAAGTTCGAAAAGCAAATATGTCTCAGGATACTACTATGTAATTAAGACAGTAATAAGTAAGTTTGCTTAGTAAATATTTTCTCCGTTTACCTTATTTAATATAGTCCTCTTTTTTCTACCAATAATTGCTTTAATATATGTGTTGAATGGTGTAATGTACCATCATTATTGTTGTTATAATTAATGTAAAGGGATAATGATTGGTAATACTCTTAATATTCATGTAATGATATTTTAGAAAAATATGAGGCTAAATTTACTTTTTCAACCAAATTAAGTAATTTTTCTTAAACTATGTGAGAAAAAAATCAAAATTATCAAAGTAAAAATTAACTAATATTTTTTAAATCTTATAAGAAAAAAAATCAAGACTATCAAAATAGAAGGGGGCAATAATAAATTCAAGAAAGTCAACACTCCAAGGAGTTGACTAGCTTAAAATGACAGGCAAATTGCTGAAATACATATTGAATCCCATTATAGAGTTCGTTGTACCACCGTATTAGCACTCAGTATTAAATGCTAAATGCTCGTTTAATGCACTTCTCAAATCAAATGCATCCGTTTAGTAGATACTAATTAAAATCACCGTTTGCTTTATACGCCATGAACCACCGCCCGATACTGAGAACTTAGCATGAATTTTGTGAAACAAGGCATTCATTCTCATTTTCACTACATTTATGGCCAAGTCAATGCCAGATATAATGAATGAGCTCCCGTATCTTAAAAACTAGTGGAAACATGGTGTAATGCCAGTTGAACTCAGAAGTAGTTTTATCTTCCACATTAAAACTCAATAAAGAAAATTCCTGAATGGTCTTTAAAACAAAGACTATTCCTATTATCAAAAAAAAAAAAAAACAAAGATAATATCCAACAAAAGCTACAATTGAACTCCATTTCTTCTTATTCTTTATGCACAAATTAAACATTTGAAATACAAACTCGAAACAATAAATGAATGGTTCCATTATTGTTTATGGGTGTTTTAAGTTCCAGTAAAATTTGTTTGGAGTTTGGACGTCCATTACAACTTTTAAAAAATATATTTGCGTATCAAATTATGGAGGCAATGCCAAAAAAAAAAAATAATAATAATAACAATAAAACGAAAAAGAAAAAAAAATCCTTTAAGAAAATTCAAGACTCTTAGATGGCCTTCTTTTTCCTGAAGGCCACCTCTGTGTCCAATCCGAATCCGTCAACAGTCCGAACGTGAACCAAATCGGAGCGTTTGAACAGTTTCTTCAACGGCTCCACGCTGTACAAATCATTAGCCGAGTACTTATCAGCCCTTTTATTTACCGACACGTGTAAAACACAAACTCCGCCGGGCTTCAGCGTCCGTTCGATCTCCCTCACGAACTTCTCCGGATAAAGCGCGTGATCAAACACGTTGGAGAACTCAAAGTCAAAAGTCCCATCCTCAAACGGCTGGTTATGAAAGTCACCCTCCACAACTAGCGGTGGAGCTGGGACCAGGTCCATCCCTAGCGAGTCGGATACTCCTACCCGTCTCAACGCCTCCACTTCTTGACCCATCCGGGCCCCGATGCTCAGCGCTTTGGAATCATTAGAAAGCAACTTCCTCTGCTTCAGCTCGCCGAAGAAACGGGTAAAGACTTGGATTTTCCTGTCCCAGTCCCGGGTACTCCATATTTCTCGAAGCTTCGGATTGAGGGTCTTGTTGAGCTGGCGCTGGATGTAGGACTCGTACGTCTTGTATCCGGGTCGGATTTTTAGGCCCGAGCTCGTTTCTGAGGAGAATCGTTCTGAGTGTTTGGTGGTGGTGGAAGAACGATAAGAGAGAAAAAGAAGGAAAGGTATGGAAAGGAGGAGAGTGAGAAAGAAGTATCTGGGGACAAATGCTATGATTGAGGTTTCTTTCATTTCTGAATATGCGTGAAGAAGTTATATATATATATATATATATATATATATATATATCTACATATATGTGGTGTTTTTGTGCTGGGGGAGGGTTGGGGGACGAGAAGGAGAGGTTTAAGGAAAAGTTCCCAATTAGCAGTAGAAGACTAGACTAGAAAGTAGAAACTAGAAGGGTAGATGTGTATTTGGGCATTTGCATGAGATCATGGAATTAGAGTGGAAACTGAATACAAGTCATGACGTGGGAATCGTATGAGAGGAGTTTCATTTGGAGTTGGACCGTCTAAGCAAATATAATTATGAAAACAGGCTTGGCTGGGGGTGGGGGAATCGGATGGCAGTTGGCCCATTTGATGTGGAAACTCCTAGCTTTCATCTTTTTGTTTAAAAAAAAAATGTAAAAAGAGAGAGAGACTAATAAAAGTCTAAAATATGGTGAATTAATATGCACTAAAAACTAACCTCCACCACGTAACGAGAGGGCGCCTTACTAAATAGGGGGGACAAGCCTGCTTGGACCAACGGGAGAGGGTACTCTCTCGACCGATATTGGATTTTGCCTTGCGTGTAGACGAGAGTATTGACGAGGATGGAGGAATATATCCCTGTTAGTGTTATGATTGGGTTAAAGCGGAATTTGGTGATTGGGAGTCCTGAATATGGTGGGGGTTGGGTTGGGTGGGGTGGGAAGAAGAGAAGATGAGGTAGAGTTTGAGAGGGACAGGGGATGCTCTGTCTAATTGGCTGTTAGATCAAATATGAAACAAAGTTGAGCAGAAGGTGGCTAACGAGGCCCAAGAGCGGGGGCATGCACAGGTCAAAGCGGCGGTCGGTTTTGTTGTTGTGTTCTGTTTGCACTTTTGTTTGGTGTGTCATGTGTGTGTGTGCATACATATACATACATATATATATATATAGATATAACGGGAACATGAAGGAATTGTGAGTCTATTAATTAGAAGGAAAAAAAAAAAAGAATTGAAAAGTAAGGTGGATAATAATTGAAGAGTGAGCTGGCGAAGGGAAGAAGCCAGAAGTGCAGAAAAGAAGATCTGCTTGGCATTTTCTGTCCTCCGCTATCACTTTCCACAAGTCCATGTCGACAGCTATAACTACTGGCAGCTAGCTTAGCTAAGCTCCCTCGTTCTATTTCTTCTTGTGAATACTTTTTACTACTTAGTAGAGTACTATTTAGTGCTGTCGTGGCGTACTTTTTTTTTTTTTTTTAGGAAACTTAATGAATGCATTCCCTTACCAAGTTTAAGGGATTTCAATTTCTAACATTCACCAAATCCAAATGCATTATTTGCCTGAACGGAAGAGCATAAAATTCGAATCATAATCATAAGCCAAAAAAAAAAAAAAAACTAATAAATTGCTACTATATCACAAGAAACCTAATAAATGAGGCGAGGCAATTGCAGCTCTCTAATGATTTGACGGATAAGAAGGAATAAAGACTTGGTGGAATCATAAACGAAAGAGGGAGCAAAAGAAAAAGATACGCTTAGTGGGCTCAATTTGCCTAATAAAGTGAAGTTCAAGCTTCGTGTTTGGTAGCCTAATTGATACGGTGTGGTCCAAGAAATTATAGACCACTTCTCCTGCCTGCTGGTTTATTCGGCCTAAACTATTACATTTGCGAAGCAACCTTCTGGTTTCTTTTTTCCTCTTCTTTTTCCCTAAAAAGGAAAAAAAAAAAAAAACACTTCTAGAACGGATTTGCCCAGTGTCCAAGAAGTCCAACTTGATGAACATAGACCCCCAGCGATTCCGTTTTTCTTTTTAAATTTCACTTTTCTTTACAAAAATTATACTGGTAAATAAAATTAAAAGGTTCGTCCCCTCAAAATTGTTAGAAAATTTTATGCCATACGTAAGAAATGTTCTCCTAAAGGCTTTGTCCATTTTTTTTTTTTAATGTAATAAGAATCTTACTTTAAAAAAAAAAAAAGTTCAAGATAATTTAGTACTAGTAAATCCACATCCATCAAGTGGCGTTTCGCTATTACCAACCTCAATCTAGCAAGTAACTTCTAAGGTGCCATAATCGCGCTTTCTCAAAAAGAAGTTGCCGTAATCGCGCCGCAAGCGCGGAATAAATGCGAGGATATCATTATCAGCCATTAATAATACATTCTCAAAAGCAAAGCGGCAGCCGACCTGTGCCGAAGGACTACAAATTTTTTTTTTTTTTTTTTTTTTAATAACAGATCAAGGATTTCACCTGTTGAATATTGTCCATTGCAATTTGTAAATCTGGTTGATATAATTCTTATTATATTTGATATAAATTTATATCATTTTAGTATCGTCGCTAATTTAGTTGTATAAGTTGATAAAATTTATTTATTTTTTTACATTAAAAGTGTACGAGTTTAAATCAGAAATCGTAGGAATTATACAAATGTATTTAAATTAGAGAGATTTCAACTCGTGAGATCCCTGATTTTTTAAAACAAAAAAGAAAAAAAAAAAGGAGCATAGCAAGCTAAAATGCATATCAAATCTACAAACAAAAGAAGAATTTAAAATTTAAACAAGTATTATTTGTCATGTAGTCACACTACCTAGTGTCTGTTTGATAACATAAAAAAGTGCTGAAATTGAATTCATTCAGACATTTAGATGTTTTGGGTGTTTGATAAATAAAAATTTTTCTGCTGAACTTATTAAGTGGTGCTGAATTTGTATGTATTTTTTTCAGCACAAGAATTGTAACTGAATGCTTAATTTGATAAGAATCAAGAGATTTACTTCAACTACTTTATCTTATCTACCAAATCTATCATTGTTTGTTAATTACATTCAAAATCCTTATCTAATTAAACAACCTGACATTCTCTGTCTAATGGCTTTCTACTTCTATTTTCTCCCTATTTAATGATTTTTTTACAATTTCTCCATGCTACTCACATCTGTCAACTCCTTATCTTTTTCCATTTTTCTACTCTTGCATAATTTTGTCATTTTTTTCCTCCCAAAATTTTTTATTGCTACCGTACTCACTGATCTCAAATTCATTATTTCCAAGGTAGTTTATTTGTTGTTCTGCGTCAACATTTTTCCATTGAAGTAATTAAATTCCTATATAATTTGGTGTGAATTTAAAACTTATTTATTGCAACTTCCTTTTGCTTATATTTGGATTTTTCTTATCAAACTCTTATTTAAAAATATAGTTGCACCGATATTTGGACTTTTCCATAATATATTTCTTCTTTTATATTACTTTGATTTAAACATAAATATTGTCATTTTCATACCTAACAATTTTAAACTAATTAAATCATAGGTTCTATTTCCTTTTTGGATTAAAACATAGAAGGGCAAAATTGTACAATTTAGCTTATTAAGCATTAAGTTATAAATGTTTATCAAACAGTATAAATATGTTCAGCATTAAGGGCCTGTTTGATAACATAAAAAAGTGCTGAATCTGAATTTTTTCAGACATTCAGATGTTTTGAGTGTTTGATAAATGAAAATATATCTGCTGAACTTGTTAAGCAGTGCTGAACCTGTGTGTATTTTTTTCAGCACAAGAATCCTAACTGAATGCTTAATTCTGATAAGAATCAATAGAATTACTTCAACTCTCTTATCTTATCTACCAAATCTACCCTTATTTGTTAATTATGTTCAAAATTCTTATTTAATTAAACAACCTAATATTCTCTATCTAACGATTTTTAGTTTCTCTTTTCTCCCTTTTTAATGACTTTCACATATTCTCCATACTCATCATATAATATATTTCATCTTTTATATTAATTTGATTTAAAAATAAATATTGTCATTTTCATACCTTACAATTTTAAACTAATTAAATCATAGATTCTATTTCTTTTTTGAATGAAAGGATATAAGGGCAAAATTATCAAATTAAACTTATTAAGCATTCAGCTATAAATATTTATCAAACAGTATAAATAGGTTTAGCATTAAAATTCAAACATTCATATATTTTTTTCAGTGTTTAAAATTCAGCAAATTAATTGTTTCAGTATTCAGATTTTAGAATTCAGATTTCAGAATTCAGATTCAGTTTTATCAAACGGAACCTAAGATTCAGATATTCATATATCTCTTTTCAGTGCTTAATATTCAGCAAATTAATCGTTTCAATATTCAGAATTTAGAATTCAGTTTTATCAAACGAAGCCCTAGTCTATAACAAAACAATTTTTACACTTAGAAAAATTTTAGTTTTTCGCTGACAAAATATGAAAATTTGATCCGTTTATAATTTCAGCTTTCTAGAATCTTCATTCTTATGGATCAACATTTAGAAGAACTACATCGACTGGGCTTGGGTTGAAAGCCTCAAACTAACTGAATGGCTCAATGTTCAAGCCCGTATCTCATGTCCATTAAACATGTCAGGCTTTCCAATAGCAAAAATCAGAAACCAAGGTGTTGATGAAACAAGCCCGAAGGATAAAGATCTTCACGTATTCCGGCTTCCCAGTTGCGCTTTCGAAACTGGGAAATCTGTGGTGTCATTTCTTGGAAACATGAACCCCCTAACATGGCAGCACTCAGGGCCACAATCTCTATGATAACTAAGCTTGGATTTATTTATTTATTTATTTTTGGAGGGTAACTAAGCTTCGTTCAGTTCTTAACTAATGTTAAAATTTGAGTTGAAACCTAGTCCGTTTAATCCATTATTCATGTCCATCTTAAACAAATTCGTATATCTGATGTTCAATGAATCGTGATAAATATTTTGTTTGCTCCCCAAATCAATATCAAGCTGAGTTTGACATCAGAGCCAACAACACTAAAACACGTTCGAACTTAGTTTGATCAGTGAATGTTGCTATCTTGTGAACTAACAAGAAATGGTCGTCTAGCTGAGTGATCAATCATTGAGTCGTATAAGTTTGGAATAGTTGAAAGTCATATATTTTGGTGGATTGGTAGAATTCAGTGTTCTCGTCGTACTTGCAAGTTATAGAGGTGGAGTTCATTTCTGTTTGAAAATCTAATGAATCCCAGAAAAACCCAGTGCCTCACACTTGAAAATCATACATGTACACGTCAAGCCAATTAATTAAATCAGTTCGGAAAATCATGCGATTAATCAGTAGAGAGTTATTAGGCAGGGACGCTGGCATATTATATATTTATGTGCTGGAACCATGTTTTGAAACCGATGTACAGTTGCAGAGGATTTATCCTGATGATGGTAATTAGAGGCAGTCCCCAAAATTTGTTCAAGAAAAGTTTCATTGATACAAAGGTGCAATTACATGTGAACACAATTCATTACTGCACCCCAACGGGAATACTAAGATCTCATCCTGTCGATCTGATTCAAAGCTGGCTGCAAGATGTTGTAGAGCACCCAAATAATTGCAGGAGCAATAACAAACAGCAAAAGCTGACCCCTGTTGTCACCGGTTGCTTCAGCTATGGCTGCAATCTCACTAGCAGCTGATGCCTGAGGTGTGTGGATGAACCCTGATGCAGCCAAACCTCCCAGGCCAAGGCCTATGATGACCCCTTTTGAACTCCTCATTTGGTTGAACTGATTGAGTGCTGGTTGGAGGATGTTGTAGAGCACCCAAGCTATGGCTGGCAGGATTGGGAGGAGAAGTGCTAGACCACGGTTATCGCCTTCTGCAATTTCGGCGATTTGTTGAGCTGCAAAGGCAGCATCACATGAGCTCAAGGTTGAGAAAATTGCGCCAGCAAGGGCTGTTCCGGTTAGCGGATTGGACAAGATTGAGTCTTGTGCTTTTCTTGATGTTGTGAGGAGGCCTTTTGGGAGGTTTTGCATGGACAGAAGGGATACCGGCTTTGGTTTCAAAGTGTTGATAACTCTGTGGGTGTTGGTGCTCAAGC